TTGCTTCTAGAGTGGCACAGATTTTAGGGATGAATTTAAATTGTATATGCAATTCTTAATGAGGCATTGAGCAGGCGAGAAAAACATGTTCAAATGACTACAAGAATCCATACTATCACCTAGAAGCCCCTATACGAGAAGTCCATAAGACGTGCAAAAGGTATCGGCTCTGAAGTAGGGCTAGTTATAGGGCTTCTTACTAGTTATAGGGCTTCTTAAACCAAATAAGTATACCTTTGGATTTTTTGCCCGAAAGCTCCAATATAAAATTGTTCGAGGAAGATTTAATGCTTCGTACATGTCAATAGATGAAATATTGTGGTATCAAAGTGTCATGTCAAGCAACAGATAGAGAGATATTTGGTCAAAATTGTCAAACGGTTCTGGAGTGGCACGGATTTTGGGGATCAATTTATGTTGCATATGCAATTCTTAATGAGGCATCAAGCAAGCAAGATAAGCATGTACGAATGAGCACAAGACCCCATACCATCTCCTAGAAGACCCTATACAAGCTGCCCATCAGATGTACATAAGATATCAGCTTCAGAGCAGGACTTTTTAGATTAGACTAAAGGGGGTTACCTTGGATTTTTAGACTAAAGGGGTATACCTTTGGATTTTTTAGCCCAAAAGCTCCGGCATGAAATTACCTAAGCATGATTTCAATGATTTCTACAGGTCAATAGACAAAGTATTATAGTCTCAAAATGTCGTGCCAAGCAACAAACGGAGAGATATTTGGGTCAAAATTGTCAAATGCTTCCGGAGTGGCGCAAATTTTGGGGATAAATTTATATTGCTTGTGCAATTCTTAATGAGGCTCGAGCAGGCAAGAAAAGCATGTCCACCTTCCTTAAGACCCCATACTATCACCTATAAGACCCTATATGTGCTGCTTGTCAGACATGTAGAAGATATCAGTTCCAGAGTAGGACTAGTTATAGGGCTTTTTAAACCAAAGGGGTATACCTTTAGATTTTTTGCCGAAATCTCCAACATGCAATGGTCCGAAAAATTTCAATGCTTTCTACAGGTCAAAAGACGAAATATTAGTCTCAAAATGCTATAGATGCCAAGCAACTTACAAAGAGATATAAGGTCAAAATTGTCGAATGCTTTCGGAGTGGCATAGATTTTGGAGATCAATTTATGTTGCATATGCGATTTTTAAAGAGACATCGAGCAGGTGAGATAAGCATATCTAGCTGAGCAGAAGACCTCATAATATTAATGAGAAGATCCTATACGAGCTGATCATAAGACATATAGAAGATATCAACTCTTGAGCAGGACTTGTTACAGGGCTTCTTAAATCAAAGAGGTACACCTTTAGATATTTTGACTAGAAGCTCCGGTATGAAATGGCCTGAGCAAGAGTTCAATGCTTCCTACAAGTTAATAGACGAAGTATTATAGTTTCAAAATATCGTGCCAAGCAATAGAAAGAAAAATATTGGGTCAAAACTATTGAATGCTTTCAGAGTGGTACAGATTTTGCATATGCAATTCTTGTTGATTTAGGGATTTCTATTCAATCCATGTCATGTCCATTATGGATTATGTATGTAAGAGATTGGGTTGAGTAAAAAAAATTATTAACTTGTTTATCCATTATGGATATTTTAACTCAATAAACTCGATTTAATCTTGATCACGTGCAACCCAAATAAATATACTAATTTTATACATTCAAATGGACTGCATCTTTACGAATTTAAACTCTGAGGTAGGAATTTAAAATTTAGGCCCTTCTATCGGGAGGAATTTAGAAAATTCTAAATATAAATATATGGTGATACAAAATATTTTTCTTTATATTAATATAGTTTGACAACATTTAATATAGTTTGACAACATAATAGTTACACTTAATAACATTAAGATTTCATGAAATTTTTGTTGATCCGTTCCTGCCCTTCTCCTATTAATAACAATAATAACAACATTAACAACATAATTTGTAATTTCATGCATAACCTGGCACACAAGTTTTCTTCTTGCCGGCTCCAACTGCCCTTCCCAGACCCTGTAGTAATCAGCCACCTCCAAGTTCCCTCCAAGTTCACCAAATATATTAAACAGCCATCTGCTTTGACAACACATACCAATTAATTATATTAAATCTCATTAATCAGTAATTAACAACAAATACATTGAAATTTCAAATTTCTTACTATTTTTTCTTGCAAGAAAGGGACTCCGTACGAAGCTGGCACAAATTACTTGCCTACTTGGTCCCTTACCTAAGACCTTTTCTCTGATATCAATATCATCTTCTTCGCATAACTCATCTGTATAAATACATTATACATGTCCAAGTTTCTTTAGATTGTGTATTTGAAATCTGTTCAAGAAGGATGTTGGCTTTCTGGTTTGTGATATTGCCATTAATATCCCAAACGACAACAGCTACAGATGTAATTTCTGGTTGTCCTGACACATGTGGCACTGTTCATGTTCCATCCCATTTTGGAATCAACTCACTTCTGGAATCTGCTTAATCCAACTGCGCACTGAACAAGTCTTTTTTCATGTTACTTGCAATGGTAAGGTTTACGGATCCTCCACGTCTATTTTTGGCCGAAAAACTGCTATTCATAAGTATATCAGTTGAAAGAAGAACGATTCTCCGTTCGGAATTGATCGGCAAATTTAAATGGCTACAACAAAGACAGGGTTGACCCTTAAGTTTGATCAAAATATTAGACTGGGAAATGGCCCGTTTCGGTTTCTCCGTTACTCGAAATACTCGAAACAAGCTCACAGCTATTGGGTGTGATACTTTAGCCCTTATGAGAGATGCTGCAGAGACTTTTGGCAGCGGTTGTGTTTCGTTGTGTGACAAGAATGTTACTCTACACGGTTCTTGCTCAGGTTTTGGATGCTGTCAAACATCGGTGCCACAAAGTCTTAAAACACTGAGAATTAATCTTGCAAGCCCGAGTAATCTTGTAGAAGATATAAGAAGTTGAAGTCCTCTCCGCCGTAAAGGTTATCGCAAATTTGGTGAATTTTACATATGTATTTATGAAAAATGATGAATTTTCTCAACGATAAAAAAAATGCATCCATGATTTTTGAAGTTTAAAAAATATTTGGATCTATGATTTTTTTTTTTATTCATTAAAAATACACACATACTAGTAGTAGTGAATGAATATAAGTTTAGGTTGTGTTGTTTGTTTCTATTTTTACTATTGGTGCTTGACTATGTCAAAACGTAGTACAATAGTTAGCTATCAATGCATCTTTCAACTTGTAAAAAACATTAAGTATCAATCCGTATATTAATGTAGAATTTAATGTGTGATAGTGTAGAATTTAATGCTGACCGCCTAATTCGGCTCAATGTTAGACCTTTAGACCTCTTTACTTTTTCCTACAAGTGTATTTAGTGGGAATAGAATGCGAGAACTCTTTCCACATGTCTAGCCTGTGGTGCCAATTGAGCCACAACCTATAGGTCTTACTTTTATTATTTAAAAGTCTTTTTTATAAGAATAAAGTGTTCTCAGCTAGTATTTGCTCAATCCATGAAGATGGAACACTCGACCTCACCTAAGGGGAAAAAAGTGTCAAACCACTCATCTAAACACTCATTAGTATAAAATGTAATTTTTAAATCAGCTATGACTAAAGCTATTTTAAGATATTCTAAATTTCATTGATAGTATTTCACTTAGTCACCTTCATTTTTATTTGGAAGTTAGAAGCTCTAAATTAGCTAAACTATTGGTGAGCTGCTTGAAAATAAGAAATTCAATCTTGAATTCATTCAATAAACTTAACTATATGAGTTCATTCAATAAACTGTTGGTGAATTTTACATATGTATTTATGAAAAATGATGAATTTTCTCAACAATTAAAAAAAAAAAATCCATGATTTTTGAAGTTTAAAAAATATTTGGATCTATGATTTTTTTTTTATTCATTAAAAATACATACATACTAGTACTAGTGAATGATTTTTTTTTTATTCATTAAAAATACATACATACTAGTACTAGTGAATAAATATAAGTTTTGGTTGTGTTGTTTGTTTCTATTTTACTATTGGTGCTTGACTATGTCAAAACGTAGTACAATAGTTAGCTACAATGCATCTTTCAACTTGTAAAGAAGATTCGGTATCAACCGAATACTGGTGTAGAACTTAATGTGTGGTAGTGTAGAATTTAATGCTCAGCAATAATTTTACGGTACAGCCTAATTCGGCTCGAAATTTAATCACAGTAAGACTTCTTTATCCTTCTCTGTAAGTGTATTTAGTGGAAATCGAATATGAAAATTCTTCTCACATGTCTAGCGTGCGGAGCCAATTGAATTACAACCCATAAATCTTACTTTTATCATTTATTGTGTTCGTTAGTATATCATTTATATTAGTTCTTAGAATTTAACCGCCATCGGAATATTTAACAATTACTAAAATAGTTAATTTTTATCGGACAGAACCTAAGTCTTGCATTGACTACAAGTCTTCCCTTGATATTAAGATGAATACCAACCTCACACGTTTTGTCTGAGAACATGTAATTAATATTTTACTGATAGTATTTGACTTGGTCACCTTCATTTTTATTTGGAAGTTAGAAGCTCTAAATTAGCTAAACTGTTGGCGAGCTGTTCGAAAATAAGAAATTCAACCTTAAAAAAAAAAAAGTTCATTTGACAAGATGAAAAAATTATAAGGGGCAATTCAGACCTTTCTTACACAATAGACGGCAAATGGAGGTCTTTTCGAATGGAGGGAATCATAATCATATAAAGACATAAGTTAGGGGCCTGAAAGTTATTTCATCAAACTAGAGGGATGTAAATGTTAGTTACACAATCATAAGTTAGGAATGTTAATTTATTTTTTTCCAAAAACAATCGTTTTATTGTTCTGTTTAAAAATAATATTAATTAAAAATATAAATCTTCGTAATAATAACTAACTATTTATTTAATTTCGAGGTCAAAATAATAATAACAGCAACATAATTACTTGCCTACTTGGTCAACTCTTTCCCTTACCTAAGACCTTTTCTCTGATATCAATATCATCTTCTTTGCATAACTCATCTACATAAATACATTATACATGTCAAAGTTTCTTTAGATTGTGTATTTTGAATCTGTCCCAGAAAGATGCTGGCTTTCTGGTTTGTGATATTGCCATTAATATCCCAAACGACAACAGCTACAGATGGGCTTTCTGGTTTGTGATATTGCCATTAATATCCCAAACGACAACAGCTACAGATGTAATTTCTGGTTGTCCTGACACATGTGGCACTGTTCATGTTCCATACCCATTTGGAATCAACTTCACTTCTGCAATCTCTAATCCCAACTGTGCACTGAACAGCTTTTTCATGTTTAATTGCAATGAAAGTTACGATCCTCCACGTCTTTTTTTTGGCGAAAACATGCCTATTCACAATATATCAGTAGAAGAAGGAACGATCTCCGTTCGAATTGACTCGGCATTTAAATGCTACAACGAGACAGGGTTGACCCTTGAGTTTGATCAAGATATTAGTCTGGGAGATGGCCCGTTTCGGTTCTCCGATACTCGAAACAAGCTCACAGTTATTGGGTGTGATACTTTAGCCCTTATGAGAGATGCTGCAGAGACTTTTGGCAGCGGTTGTGTCTCGTTGTGTGACAAGAATGTTACTCTACATGGTTCTTGCTCAGGTTTTGGATGCTGTCAAACATCGGTGCCACAAAGTCTTCAAACACTGACAATTAATCTTGCAAGTCCGAGTAATCATAGCAGCGTTTGGCAGTTTAATCCGTGTGAATTCGCATTTCTAGCTGATGAAAGGACTTTCGATGTTTCAAAGCTGCAGCTCTCTGCTCTTCCAAGTTCGCCGGTCACAAAACAGTTTGTTTCTTCTGATGTTGTTCTTGAATGGGTAGTAAGAGAGGAGAGATGTAAGGCTGCACAATCGAGCTCAAATTCAAATAAATATGCTTGTGGCAGTAATATCAAATAAATATGCTTGTGGCAGTAATAGTAATTGTACATACTCTGAAAATGGCAAGGGATATCGGTGCATATGCAAAGACGGATTTACAGGAAATCCTTATCTTCCACAAGGTTGCCAAGGTAATAATTAGTTAAGCAAATCATCCTCATTTTTTCTTGTACTTTGACTTTTCATTTTCATTGGTTTTCATTTCTTCTCTAATTAATTACTTCATATCTATATAACAGACATTGATGAGTGCAAAGAACCAGACAAGTACAAATGCGATGGAAGTTGCAAGAATACAATTGGGAGCTACAAATGCAGTTGCCCATTTGGAATGCGCGGTGATGGTAAAGTTGGTTGTCAAGGATTTCGCATTACAACTATTGCTGCAGGTACTAATACTATATCAACTCAATCCTCTTGTTTTTCTTCTTTAATCAAGTTTTTTAACCATCAGTAATTAACTGATCTTTCGACTTTTTTATAGTTGTTGGAGGGGTTGCATCCATTATGATTATCGCCTTACTGATCATCATTTTATACATTTTATACAAAGAGGCGAAGAAATATACAAGAGGCGAAGAAATGAGAGGAACTTTTTGAAAAATGGAGGCTTGTTATTGGAGCACCAAAGGGTAAGAATCTTCAGAGAAGCGGAGTTAGTAAAGGCTACTCTAAAAATTATGATCAAAGTTTACTTCTTGGCGAAGGAGGTTTCGGATATGTTTATAAAGGAGTTTTAGCAGATAACACCCAAGTTGCAGTAAAGAAGCCTAAAGATAAAGACAAAACTCAAATAAATCAAGAATTTCAACAAGAACTTGGCATTGTTTCACAAGTTAACCATAGAAATGTTGTCAAGGTATTAGGCCTTTGTTTGGAGACTAACGTTCCTTTATTAGTTTACGAATTCATTTCCCATGGAACCCTTTCCCAGCATATCCATTACAACAGGTCTAAAATATTAGCCACATGGAAAAATCGTCTAAGAGTAGCAGCAGAGACTGCGCTTGCACTTGATTATTTGCATTCTTTAGCAGATCCCCCAATTATCCACATGCGCGATGTCAATCATGTAATATAACTAAGTCATGTAATATACTCTTAGACGATACTTACACTGCTAAAGTATCTGATTTTGGAGCTTCAGTACTAATTTCTCCTGGTCAATCTGATATGGCTACAAGAATACAAGGGACTATTGGATATTTAGATCCAGAGTATCTTATGACAGGTAATTTAACTGAAAAGAGCGATGTCTATAGCTTTGGAGTGGTTCTTGTTGAACTATTAACAGGGGAGAAACCAAATTCTAGCACAAGATCCGGCGAAAAGAGTAACATCGTTCAATATTTTCTCTCATCTCTAGAAAATAATGAGCTATCTGGGATACTTTGTTTTGATGTAGCTAGTGAGAGACTGAAATTGGAAGAGAATTGAAGGGGTTTTGCAGAGCTGCAAAACAATGCGTACGAGTTAGTGGCATAAAAGGCCAAACTATGAAACAAGTTTCAGAAGAAGCTTGGCAGATTGGAGAAAATTTGCATTGAGAGATCAGGGGATTATCATTCAAAAATAGTGAAGAGACTTGAACATTTGTTAGGTCAATCATCTTACCGTTCCATTGACATTTGGAACTTGCAAAGTTGAACCAACAAGAAGTCCTTAGCCTGACAACGTTCGATGTCGAGTACTCTACCGGTAGCATTTTGAAGACTCACCAATCATTCACCAATCATCCAAGGAGCATAATGAAATCTAATGTTAGTTGTCAAAGGGTGTTTATGTCCTTAATCCTAGGAATGTTGTCTCAATAAGGAAAAAAAAAATTGTCTTTAGATGTTGCATTAAGTTAAATATTGTAAAATAATCATAATTTGGTAAAACTTTGAAAGTCATATGGTTAAGTTATGGCATTTTTTCCCCTTATTTGGTAAAAGAGGCAAAATATTAAAAGAATTAAGGGTGTGTTTACTTACATAAAACAGTGTTCTGTTTTTTATTTTCTGTTTTTTAATAAAACAGTTTTTTACAAAATGAAAGCTAGAAAACAGAAAATGAAAATTGTGTTCACTTGATGATAATAAAAAATTATATTTTAATTTAACTTAACAAATATTATTGATAACTTTCATAATTAAAAGTAATAAAATATTATAAAATAAATTTAGAAATTTGGTATGTAAAAGTTTTTGAATTTTTACTATTGATTATTTATTAATATCATTTTTTATTTCAATTTTGTAAAATTTTTTAAAAATAAAGGAATATAATATATTAATAATAATAAAATTAATTATTTTATTTAAAGCATAATATAAAATTTTTTTACTTAAATATTTTTATTTTTTCAAATAAAAATTATTTTATTAGAAAAAAATTATTTATAGATATATAATTTTAAGGAAAAAATATTATTTAGTCCCTCAGGTTTTTTAACATAATTAACCAACTAATCCCAAGTTTTGAGAAAATATCTAGCTAGTCCCTCAGGTTTAACTCTGTCTAATTAAAAGGTCATTCCGTCCGAAAAGTTAATTTTTTTTCCGTTAAAATCAGTACAAAACAAAGGCAGACAGTCTGTAATGGCAAAGAATGCCCTTACTGAAGCTCCTATAACTATCAACAAGGTTTGACGAAATATGAGTATCACAAAAACGCAGAGAAAGGAAGAAAGGGAAAAAACAAACTCATCTCCATTTCGTTTGCTGGTAACAAGCGACAGCGTACATGTCTTCTTCAAGCGCAGCCGATGGAGCATGGGAAGGAAGGTATGTGAATATGTATTGCAAGTGTGGGAAAAAAGCATAACTATATACAGGTATTATGTCAAATATAGTAAGAACATGACATTTTGATTATTTATTTTAATAAATCTTTAATTTGATTGGATTATAAGTATTTCCTATAAGAAAATTTTTTAATAAAAAAATAAATGTAATTTATTTATTATTTTACTAAAGAATATTTATAAGAGTTATAGTTTGATATAAAATAGAAAATAAAACATCACTGGAAAATATATATAAAAATTAAAATTATTGGTATACGTTTGTTAACAAATCTATGATACATTGAAATTTTTTTCTTAAAAAAAAAGCAAACAACCAAAACATTTATTGTATGTTCATATACTTTAATAAAAAAGAAAAAATGTTTTTAAAAATATAAATGTTGCTAAAAAAAAAATGATTTTACTATATTAATTATTATAATAACTAAATATTGATTTCTCATATTTAATAATATTAAAAAAGTTTATGGTATTTATTTTGTATACAAAAATTGTGCTCTCTTCTGCTACAAGAGCATAGATGGCCCAAACAGATCACAGTGGCCGGAAGCTGCCATGGAAAACCTAAAAGCTCTCCTAGTATTTTTTAGGGCTTCTTATCTGGGACGGTTTCCGTCTCTCTGGTGGCGTTCCTTCAACCCGTTTCGTCTCTCTGGTGGGTCCTTCAACCGTTTTCCGATGAGCTTTTTCAACTTTAGAACTTCTTCATCCAAGAAACCAATCAAAGGCGTCAAAACCACTGATATCACCGTTGATAAGAAGCGAAACCTATGGTTTCGCCTCTACAGTCCCAGTGCCACCACCACCACAAATGGCGGTGGCTTGCCAGTTATTTTCTTCATCCACGGCGGTGGTTTTACTCTGTTTGCACCCAATTCAAAACTTTACGATGACTTTTGCTACCGTCTTGCTCGCAAACTGTCTGTATAATTATTTCTGTCAACTACCGGCTTCTTCCGGAGCATCGCTATCCATGCCAATTCGACAATGCTCTTGATGCTCTGCAATTCATAGATAATTCAAGAATAGAAGGCTTTTCAAGCCAAGCCAATCTAAAACAGTGTTTTATGGCAATTGAAGATTAGAAGACATTAATTAGAAGAGTTCAAAGAAGTGAAGGGAGGGGTATTTTAGGCTTTTAGTCTTCAATTAACGGAAAAAAATCAACTTTTCGGACAGAAGGACCTTTTAATTAGACAGAGTTAAACTTGAGGGACTAATTAGATATTTGCGCAAAACTTGGGATTAGTTGGATAGTTATGTAAAACCTGAGGGACTACATAATAATTTACCCTAATTTTAATTATGAAAATGTCATTTTAACATTTTAAAAAAAAGTGGAAAGCACGGCTCCGGAGCAGGACTAATTACAAGACTTCTTAGACCTTCTTAGACCAAAGGGGTATACCTTTGGATTTTTGGCACAGAAGCTTCGACATAATATGACTCGAGCAAGATTTCAATGCTTCGTACAGGTCAATAAATGAAATATTATAGTCTCAAAATATCATGCTAAACAATAAAAAGACAGATATTAGGTCAAAATTGTCAAACTCTTTCGGAGTGACACTGATTTTAGGGATCAATTTATGTTGCATATGTAATTCTTAATGAGGCATCAAGCAGGAGAGATAAGCATGTCTAACATAGCACAAGACTCTAGAATATCACTTAGAAGACCCAATAAGAGCTAGCCATAAGAAGCTAGCCATAAGATGTACAAAAGATATCGGCTCCTGAGCAAGACTTATTACAGGGCTTCTTAGACCAAAAGGGTATATCTTTTAATTTTTGGGCGGAAGATTCAGTATGAAATGACCCGAAAAAGCTTTTAATGTTTCCTACAGGTCAATACACGAAGTATTATAGTCACAAAATGTCATGCCAAGCAACAGACAGAGAGATAGAGGTTAAAAATTATCGAATGCTTCCGAAGTGGCAGGAATTTTGGGGATGAATATATACTGCGTATGCAATTCTCAATGAGGTATCAAGCAGACAAGAAAAGTATGTCCTGCTGACTGTAAGACCCCTTCCTATCACCTAGAAGACCCAATATGAGTTGCCCGTTAGACGTACAGAAGATATCGGCTTCGGAGCATGACTAGTTACAAGGCTTCTAAGACCAAATGGGTATACTTTCGAATTTTTAGGCCTAGAAGCTCCAGCATGAAATGGCCCAAGCATGATGTCAATGCTTTGGCCCAAGCATGATGTCAATGCTTCCTAATGGTCAATAAATGAAGTATTATAGTCTCAAAATGTCATGTCAAGCAACAGAAAGAGAGATATTGGTTCAAAACTGTCGATTGCTTCTAGAGTGGCACAGATTTTAGGGATGAATTTAAATTGCACATGCAATTCTTAATGAGGCATTGAGCAGGCGAGAAAAGCATGTTCAAACGACTACAAGAATCCATATTATCACCTAGAAGCCCCTATACGAGAAGTCCATAAGACGTGCAAAAGGTATACGTGCAAAAGGTATCGGCTCTGAAGTAGGACTAGTTATAGGGCTTCTTAAACCAAATAAGTATACCTTTGGATTTTTTGCCCGAAAGCTCCAGTATAAAATTGTTCAAGGAAGATTTAATGCTTCACACATGTCAATAGATGAAATATTGTGGTATCAAAATGTCATGCCAAGCAACAGATAGAGGGATATTCGGTCAAAATTGTTAAACGGTTCTAGAGTGGCACGAATTTTGGGGATCAATTTATGTTGCGTATGCAATTCTTAATGAGGCATCAAGCAGGCGAGATAAGCATGTCCGAATGAGCACAAGACCCCATACCATCTCCTAGAAGACCGTATACAAGCTGCCCATCAGATGTACATAAGATATCTTCGGAGCAGGACTTTTTAGACTAAAGGGGTATACCTTTGGATTTTTTGGCCCGAAAGCTCCGGTATGAAATTACCCAATCATGATTTCAATGATTCCTACAAGTCAATAGATAAACTATTATAGTCTCAAAATGTCGTGCCAATTAACAAACGGAGAGATATTGAGTCAAAATTGTTGAAACAGATCCATGAATGAGCATTAAGTTCATGTTCTAGAGTTTCAAAAGGACCATTCAGATGAATGAGCATTAAGTTCATGTTCTAGAGTTTCAAAAGGACCATTCAGCTCCATTCTCTCTGAAAAGAGATAACAGGCCGTAAAGAGGACAACTGCCCAAGTGTTGTATGATAACGGGAAATGCCCACTGGAGGTTAGCAAGAATATGTACCAGAAAACCTTAGAGCAAACATAATTTTCTGTTGATCAGCAAAAGCCATAACAGCATGAGGACTGATGAAAAAAAAAATTATAAATGTGGTAAAATAGTTTGAGGGCAACAAAATCTTAATAGACGCCTTAGCAAAAAGAGAGATGCTAAAATACTAATCACAGTTTAGTACTTGACCAACTAAAAGATCAAAAGGTACTTGATAGGTATCTTACATTCCAACTACCTCCCAAATTAATACTAAAAGAGTAGCATATGGGTGTCACCAAGCACTAAAAGGTAAATGTTTTACCAGATTGTCGTTTCTTCAAAGATTTCCGCTGCCTCTCAACAGCCTCCTTTGTTTCCACCAATTGTCTCTAAAAAGTCAAATGATGAATCGAAAATATTACAAATGCACGCAAAAAGGTGACTTATTTTAGATTATTGATAATGGTATGTTAGTGTTCAAAGTACCACAGCAGCAGGGGTCATTTCAGTAAATTTGCAAGTTCTGCTGGGATTCATAAAATTCTATGGGTTCTAAATTTACTTTATTTGGTTCATTTTGGTTAGAATCCTAACAATTTAGTAAGTTTAATACTTGATTTCAGTTTTGAAGTTGGAATTCATGCCAAAAAATATGAGTTAAAGTAATTACAGTCTTAAGGATTATTAATTAGGATTACTTTGAAACTATGGATGTCTAAGCTTATCATGCTTTATTAGTAAGTTTCCAGTTCAAATTCTTCAGATATAACAGTTCCAGCTCTACAACAGACAAAGAAAACATGAGTAACCTAAATAATCAACAAAAACAAAAAAAAAAAAAGGCACTCAACGGACATTCAACGGACATTAGATTAAAATAAGGAATTGGCTGAGAGAGAGACAGGACAGTTAAAAAAAAAAAAAAAAAAAAGGCACTCAACTGACATCGATTAAAATAAGAATTGCAGAGAGAGAGAGACAGACAGTAAACAAGGATTGGCAATATGCCTACATCTATGGAGGGCCACCTGCAATTTCCTCACCACAATGGAAAAACTCACAAGTGCCCATTCATAGAAATGAATTTTCCTTTTACACGTAAGAATAGCAGAACCCACAGTTACAAAAATACACACCCAATGTAGATATGCCCTGCGGCAACTAACTGTACCATATTACCTAGCTTTTAGCGTGCAATTTCTTCTCTGAAAATGAGACACAATCTGAATGTGGAATGTTTGTTTTGGTTGGCATTAGAGTACATATATAATTTTTTTTTATCACACTAACGTTAGCTTCCAATAAAATAGTAAATAGCCTTGAATCAAGCATGCTTAATCACTTCTTTTACCATGCTTGATGGGATATGCTACTGAAAGCTCGAGAGGCAGATATAACCTAAATCAAATAGCTGAAGGACTCACACATAAATAGAAACATCATAATCCCAATTTAGTTAAGTTCTCTGCATTCTACTGTGTCTGGAATTCTTCTCAATTTCAGTTTTTTCCTTTGAAAATTTTCATTTATTTTATTTCCTCTTACGTCAATCAAAAATGCACCAAGACAGGATACCTTATCACGCCTACATTGCCAAGTCTTAAAGAATCCTGGCGAACTTTTATCCTAGCTTCCTGTCTCTTTGCCTTTGAGACAGATATCAGTAGATCAGATATCATTTTCACTCTCTGCAACAAGAAAGAACGGATACTAAAAATGGGCATAAAATATAAATAAAGTTTACACCGTCTTCAAATGACATATACCCTGTAAGAAACTTAAGCATGCACATGAATCACACATTGAAAACTAGAAGTCAACATAAAGATTCCAGCAGACAGAAGAATTAAGTAATTAAATTCTAATATACTTTCATCAGAACACTTGAATTCTGGACAAGAATATGCTACTGCCCTAAAATGATGCCTTACAGACACATCTCCAAAATTTAACTACGGCAAACCTCCAGAGCAGCTTAACTTCTTAGGCAGTAGTGGAATGTCGTTCATGTCTACTGCATAAAGAAGAAAATTATTCTGACCCTCCACCATGATGATTATTTCAGGGTAAATAGTTTCCTTTTGCATGCCAACAACATAAAATGACTGAGATCAAGAAAGCCTGTTTAACTAAATCTATACATTTCCAGCTCTTTTTTTCACGAGAAAACAAATAAATCTTTAGTACTTTCCTACTTTTGTAAGCTCCAGAATCTCATTGAATCATTTAGATGCTTGTTATTTAGGCGAAAGTTTTACTCCCTCTCATGATTCCATTTGTTGCAGTCATGAACCTGTGAGGTTCACGACACAAAACTTATCAGATAGAAAGTAAATGCCTTTAATATGAAGAAGAGAACCAATATGGCAGGAACATTACTAGTAAGATTACTGGTAACTGCAATATTAATTAACTACTAAATCAGCCAAAGGTAAATATATTGTAAAACCCATGTCCTTCAGAAAGCAAACCTTTGGCTTCATTTGTTGTTCATAATCTTGTTCATAATCTTTTAGCTCCTTCAGTTCCTGCACAAATAAATAAATTCTTTTAATACAATGTGGATAATTAAAGGCTATAAAGTACGGGGAAAAAAAATATACCTTTTCTAATCGACAGCACAGATTGTGATTGTCAGCAGCCTCTTGACGAGATTTACGAAGTTCCTCCTCTAGCATTGCAACTTTTGCACGTAGGGAAGTGACCTCCTCCTAAATTGCCAACTTTTTGCACGTAGGGAAGTGACCTCCTCCTAATTCAAGCAAGTTAAAAGATGGGATTAGAACAACAGGGAACGCCAAGGTGTTTTGTACTGTGGGTAAAGCAATGAATCCCTTGGGAAGATCTCAAAATCTAACAAATTGCAACGGAAGATTTTTCTTCTTTTTATTTAAACACACACCACACACACACACACACAAAACAAAAAAGAAAAAAGGTAAAAGAGTTTATATAACAAAGTCATCAAACTGATACCTCTGATGAAGTGTGATCATCATTGCGTAAATTCTCTTTATGCCTATTATCCTGCAAAACATTATACGTAATTGTCCTTTTAGATAAATTTCCTGCAAAGGAGTTTACCATTTGGATGCAGACTTCCAGAGTACAAAGATGGAATGGAAACAAAAAGTTCTGCATGTAATCTTTAGAGGCCATAAGTTTTCTGTCCATAAAGATCAATAGCAAAAACAATGGTGCCAGAAACAAAAATTATCTACAGAAAGGAACTACTCAAGTGTGCACAAGTTAACCCACAATACTGACAAACAGCCTCCAAGAGAGCACCAATGAAATATGCTAATTAAGTTTCCATGATTCATTGAGTGTCTATTTGTGTATGTGTTTTTATTCTATAACTCCATTTATAAATCACAAACAATCACCAAAGGTACTACAGCATTTACTGGATAAACTATCAAAAGGTTGAAGAGCATATTACATTTATTAGATTTGTTTTGTAGGGGAAACGATCTAAGAAGACATTTTACTCATCTAGCATTTGATGAAACATAAGAATTGATTGCAAAACAATTCAATAGCAAACATGGATTTAAGAATTTTTTCCAAACAGCAATAACTATTCTGCTTAGGTTCTATTAGGGATTGAGTTTGAAGCTGCTTTTTGAAAACTGTGTTTTGATTTTTTTTTTTTTTTTTTTTTTTTTTCTAAGGTTCATGCCCTATATTTCCATATTGATTATTTAGAATTAATTTATAAATATTTATTAGGATAAACAGTCTTTATTAATTTATTTAGAAATGAATATTAAATGAAATGAATTTCATGTTGTTAATTTTGGTTCTTAACATAAACAAAGAATTAGAAGATTTCATTGTGGAATTAAATTAGAAGATTCACTTGTGGAATTACCTTTAAAAAATAAAAATTTTCTTGTATAATTCATGTGAATGAAATGAATTGATTGTTAATATATGACGGTCGAACTTAGTTTTAAAATTTTTCTAAAATCAGCTTCATAAAATATCCAAAATTTTACATTTCGCTCATAAAATATTTTTTCTTGTTCCACCACTCTTAATATATTTCTTAACGGAATGAAAACATTTTTTGCACAATTTGTGTCAGGCACAGCCACCGTGCAATATAGGTGAAAAGATTGTAATGTCCTTTAAGAATGTTAATTAAGTAGTTTTAATGTTACCGATATTATCTAGGGTTGAAATTGTGAATTATCAACAAGTATTCTATTATGCTAATTGGTCTTTGTTGTGGAAATTGAGCTTTTTCTGCCAAAAAACAATTTGTGAATTACTGTAGTAAATTTCTAGATAAGTGGAGGAGTTACAAATGGTCTCACTTAAAATGCGCTTGCTTTAGACTAAATTCGTGTCATTTGACAGAATTTACCTAGACATGCAATTAATCAGACAATAACCACCAAAAATATTTTGCCCAACAATAGCTATTGCCCAACAATAGCTATAAATAAATAAAAGACAAAAGCAAATAAATAATGAGAGAACACCAGAACTTTAAACAAGGTTCGCCAATTTTTGCCTACGTCCTGGACAACTACTAAATTTATATTGTCACTAAAGAAAATATACAATTGAGAGGTCTAATTCTCTAAGTATTGAAAAGACAAGTTGGAAATGATTTAAAACTTAAGGAGCTAGCTTCTTATAGGCAAAGGACTCACTATTCCCTTCCAATTTTCCCGATGTGGGATTCTAAGCCACCTAAACCAACAGTCTTATTGAACTTTCTACTAATGAAAAAAGCGGACGATCTCAGATTTGAATTTATCGACTAGAGGAGGATTTACCCTCTGTAATTATATCTAATGCATAACCTATTTTGATATTATATATGTTCACGTCTTGAATTCTGGTGAGGCTAAGCCAATACTATATATATGGCTTAAACTTTATGTATATTTTGCAGAAACAACAATTGAATTCAATGCAAATGTAGTTGGTTGGGGTTTCCCATATTTTGTTCCTCTTAGCAATATAGGAGATCCTAAAGAAAATTATCTTGTGGACGATACTCTTCTAATAGAAGCTGAAATTACTGTCAGCAATGTTATGCATCCTTCAGTATCAGTCGAGACAAAAGAACCTGAACAACAAAGCATCCAGGCACCACCACCTCCTCCAGTCATCGCTAAGGAAAAGGAACTTCCAAAGGTAATTCTTTCCATTAAAAGACAAGTTTTTTTGAATTTTCTTTCTGAAAAGAAAATAACATTTTTTTTTGGGCTGCCATGACAGGATCCCTCGGTTGAGTCTAAAGAATCCTCCCAAGATGTGCTAACAAAATCTAAGAGTCTCCTAACAGAGCTTTCAAGCAGAACTACAACCCAAAGATCATCTTCAACTGATGATATTTCAGTTTCACCTCAGCCTGATAATTTGCAGCAAGAAAATGAAGCATTGGCAGGATTCTTTAACATGTCATTAGAGGCAATCCAACAGGCTAACGTCTTTGGCAATATTGAAGAAATAATCCGTACACTTATTCCAAATACAAACGATTTGCAAAAGAAAACAGTTCTTGAAGATCTTGCCTCTCGATTAAAAGAGTTTCAAGAAATAATCCCTACTGCTAAAGCCACTGTAGAAGCAGCTGAGAATCGTAGGAAATCTCTTCTGGAGAAAACAACAAAGCTTGATTCAAAATTAGCAGAAAGTCGAGAGAAACTTCGTTCCTTGGATTCTGAGCTCTCAAAGATTTCAAATGAAGTGAAGAAAATTGAGACTGAAATTCAATGGTTAACTGCTCAGAAAGAGAAGCTTCTCGTCGAAAAGAAAAATGTTGTTGCTCAGGTGGAGAAAGCTAATCCAGAAGCATTAAAAGACTTGGAAGAATGGAAAAAGCTTGAAGAGGAAATGAAGCAAGCTAATGCTGAGTGGGTTGGAGCAAAAGAGAAATCAGCATTAGCTAATGAAAATGAAGCCAAGCTAATGCTGAGTGGGTTGGAGCAAAAAGAGACAATCAGCATTAGAACTAAATTCGTTGGAGAAACTTCACAAAGGGAGGAGTTAGGTGTCTTTGAAAATGCTTAATGTCCCTTTTAATGAAATTGAATGTGGGCAATCTTTTTTTTTCTTTTGGATTGAATTTATTCATTTTTATGTGCTTTAATTTATAATATCATTGAAATAAATTAATTTTGTTTTATAATTTTAAAAAAATAATGGATTTATTTTAACTATCATGAATGAGGAGGGAGCTAGGTTTAATTTTCAAGTTAAATGAAAAATATTTTAAGAGTAAAATTCACTCTAGGCTTGTTTGAAGATCCATGGGCTGATCAGAGCTTTACAGACCACCTTGGAAGCCAGGTTTAGTTAATAAACTTAATGTTGGACTTTAATTTCTTTTTTATGGATTATGAATCAATCTCACTATTCATAAATAGGCTCATAGAGATTTGGCAAGGGAAGCTGTGAGGAAGTCACTTGTTCTATTGAAGAATGTTCTATTGAAGAATGGAGAGAACGCAGATGCCCCATTGCTTCCTCTACCTAAAAATGCAGGCAGGATCCTTGTTGCTGGTACCCATGCCAGCAATCTGGGCTATCGGTGTGGTGGTTGGACTATCACTTGGCAAGGCGTTAATGGCAACAACTATACAGCCGGTAGATACTAAAACCCTTTTTCTGACTTATACTTTGCTTTGCATTGATATTAATTTGATCACCGCGAATATTTCAAATAAACGATTCATATATCCGGCCTAAATAGTTTTGTACTAAGACTTAGTTGTTGATGTTGTATTGTAATGTAACAGGAACCACTATTCTAAGTGAAATCTCAGCTGCTGTTGATCCAAGCACAGAAATAACCTACAGTGAAAATCCTGAAGCTGCTTTTGTCAAGGCCAACAACTTCTCCTACGCCATTGTTGTTATTGGAGAGCTTCCTTATGCAGAAACAAACGGAGACAATCTCAACCTGACAATAACAGAACCAGGTCCTTCTGTGATCAACAATGTCTGTGGCATCAACAATGTCTGTGCACCACTAAAAATGCGTCTGTCGTTGTAATCTCCGGCCGCCCATTTGGTGATGGCCATTACCTGCCCCCAAATAGATGCTTCGCTTGTTGCCGCTGGCTTCCAGGAACTGAAGGACATGGCAGTTCTTTGATGTGCTTTTCGGAGGACTATGGATTTGTGGGAGCTGTCTCGAACTTGGCTCAAGTTTCCCCGTAGATCAGCTGCCCCATGAATTCTGCGTGACCCCTTTGATCCTTCTTTTTCCTATGGTTTTGGTTCACTACTCAAGCGTGCAAATCAAGCTAGAAGCAAAAAGTCTTCCTTAATTAGTAGCATTAGTGGTCATTGAATTAAACATCCGCATAAGTTTCTTAATCATAGGATTAGTGAGAGATGTATTAAGGTAGTTTGTAAGAGAAGATCAAATTGCTGTAATGTTTTCTATATGTTAAGAATGCAAACTTGAATTTTTTTTAGAATGATGTTAAGAATAGCAAATTGAATTTTTTTAGATTTAATTTGATCATTAATTATGTTTTATTTTCATAAATTTTGTCTGCATGGTGTTAGAAATTTGGTAAATAAATATAATAAATATAGTTTATTTTGAATCAATTAAACTGGATTTTATTTTAATATATATAACAAAACTAGCTTTAACATTATGAATAATAAAAATTATTTTTCTATTTTTGTAATGCTATTGGAATTTCGTTATGATTTTAGGTAGGTAGTCATGTAATGAATGTTCATGCACTTAGGAGAGAATGTTTATAGGGGCCAAATCCAATTAATTGACTACGAGTAATATCAAACAATAATTAAAACGTCATTCGTGACGTTTTCATTTTTTAATAAAAGGCCAACGTTTCCAACTTGGAATGCTAAGTCAGTCAACTGACGGTCCAAGTCTTTGCTATTAGAAATGACACCTAATTTCCATTTAAAAATTAAAAAGAAAAAAACTCATTAGTTTCTGATTAACACAATGAAGACTTACAATAACCGGTCAATTTACATATACTAATACTAATATTAACATCAGTGAATAGTCAATAAAACTAATTAGGTGTAGTCCGATTAATTTACTTATCTTTTATAGAAGATATAGAAGTTTGAATTCTCTCCACCACAAATATTATTGCAAATTTGGTGAAATTTATTTAAAGGGGAGAGCTGTCTCATGCTGTGTAGCCCATAATATTATTTCGGCCAATTAGACTTTCCATGTATAAAAAAAAACGAATAGTTAATAAACATTTCTTGATTTATTTAATTTTTTAATAATTGTTATTATTGAAATATTTATTTGATTAATCATTTAAAATATTTAGTTATTTTGACACAATCTAGGTGAGGAAAAAAACAGAAAACTGGCTCTTGTTATCAAGGGATTTGGTGAATTTCACATATATATTTATGAAAAATGATGAATTTTCTCAATAATAAAAAAAATGCATCCATGATTTTTGAAGTTTAAAAAATATTTGGATCTATGATTTTTTTTTTTATTCATTAAAAATACACACAAACTAGTACTAGTGAATGAATATAAGTTTTGGTTGTGTTTGTTTCTATTTTACTATTGGTGCTTTACTATGTCACTAGTACTAGTGAATGAATATAAGTTTTGGTTGTGTTTGTTTCTATTTTACTATTGGTGCTTTACTATGTCAAAACGTAGTACAATAGTTAGCTACAATGCATCTTTCAATTTGTAAAAAAGATTCAGTATCAATCGGTGTACTAATGTAGAATTTTATGTGTGATATGTAGAATTTCCCGCGCAGCAACAATTTTTCAGGTATAGCCTCATTCGACTCGAAATTTAGTTACAGTAAAATCTTTTCACCCTTTCCTGTAAGTGTATTTAGTTGGAATCGAATCCGAAAGCTATTTTCACATGTTTAGCTTGAATTGAATTACAACCCGTTAATCTTACTTTTATCATTTATTGTGTTCGTTAATATAATATTTATATTAGTGTTTAAAATTTGACCGCTATCGAAACACTTAACAATTACTAAAATAATTAATTTTTATCGGACACAACCGAAGTCTTGCATTGACTACAAGTCTGCCCTTGATATTAAGATGAATACCAACCTCACACGTTTTTTAATTTTTATGGGACAGAACCTAAGTCTTGCATTGACTACAAGTCTTCCCTTGACATTAAGATGAATACCAACCTCACACGTTTTGTCTGAGAACACGTAATTAATATTCTACTGATAGTATTTGACTTGATCACCTTCATTTTTATTTGGAACTTAGAAGCTCTAAATTAGCTAAACTGAATAAGAAATTCAACCTTAAAAAAAGTTCATTTGACAAGATGAAAAAATTATAAGGGGCAATTCAGACCTTTCATACACAATAGGCGGCAAATGGAGCTCTTTTCGAATGGAGGCAATCATAATCATATAAAGACATAAGTTAGGGGCCTGAAAGTTATTTCATTAAACTAGAGGGATGTAAATGTTAGTTACACAATCATAAGTTAGGAATGTTAATTTATTTTTTTCCAAAAGCTATCGTTTTATTATTCTGTTTAAAAATGATATTAATAAAAAATATAAATTTTCATAGTAATAACTAACTATTTATTTAATTTAGACGTCAAAATAATAATAACAGCAACATAATTTATAATTTCATTCATAACCTGGCACACAAATTTTCTTCTTGCCGGCTCCAACTGCCCTTCCCAGACCCTATGTTAATCAACCACCTCCAAGTTCACCAAATATATTAAACAGCCATCTGCTTTGACAACACATACCAATTATTTTTTCTTGCAAGAAAGGGACTTCTTTGCATAACTCATCTACATAAATACATTATACATGTCTAAGTTTCTTTAGATTGTGTATTTGGAATCTGTCCAAGAAGGATGCTGGCTTTCTGGTTTGTGATATTGCCATTAATATCCCAAACGACAACAGCTACAGATGTAATTTGGCTTTCTGGTTTGTGATATTGCCATTAATATCCCAAACGACAACAGCTACAGATGTAATTTCTGGTTGTCCTGACACATGTGGCACTGTTCATGTTCCATACCCATTTGGAATCAACTTCACTTCTGCAATCTCTAATCCCAACTGTGCACTGAACAGCTTTTTCATGTTTAATTGCAATGAAAGTTACGATCCTCCACGTCTTTTTTTTGGCGAAAACATGCCTATTCACAATATATCAGTAGAAGAAGGAACGATCTCCGTTCGAATTGACTCGGCATTTAAATGCTACAACGAGACAGGGTTGACCCTTGAGTTTGATCAAGATATTAGTCTGGGAGATGGCCCGTTTCGGTTCTCCGATACTCGAAACAAGCTCACAGTTATTGGGTGTGATACTTTAGCCCTTATGAGAGATGCTGCAGAGACTTTTGGCAGCGGTTGTGTCTCGTTGTGTGACAAGAATGTTACTCTACATGGTTCTTGCTCAGGTTTTGGATGCTGTCAAACATCGGTGCCACAAAGTCTTCAAACACTGACAATTAATCTTGCAAGTCCGAGTAATCATAGCAGCGTTTGGCAGTTTAATCCGTGTGAATTCGCATTTCTAGCTGATGAAAGGACTTTCGATGTTTCAAAGCTGCAGCTCTCTGCTCTTCCAAGTTCGCCGGTCACAAAACAGTTTGTTTCTTCTGATGTTGTTCTTGAATGGGTAGTAAGAGAGGAGAGATGTAAGGCTGCACAATCGAGCTCAAATTCAAATAAATATGCTTGTGGCAGTAATAGTAATTGTACATACTCTGAAAATGGCAAGGGATATCGGTGCATATGCAAAGACGGATTTACAGGAAATCCTTATCTTCCACAGGATTTACAGGAAATCCTTATCTTCCACAAGGTTGCCAAGGTAATAATTAGTCAAGCAAATCATCCTCATTTTTTCTTGTACTTTGAATTTTCATTTTTATTGGTTTTCATTTCTTCTCTAATTAATTACTTCATATCTATATAACAGACATTGATGAGTGCAAAGAACTAGGCAAGTACAAATGCGATGGAAGTTGCAAGAATACAATTGGGAGCTACAAATGCAGTTGCCCACTTGGAATGCGCGGTGATGGTAAAGTTGGTTGTCAAGGATTTCGCATTACAACTATTGCTGCAAGTACTAATATTATCTCAACTCAATCCTCTTGTTTTTCTTCTTTAATCAAGTTTTTTAACCATCAGTAATTAACTGATCTTTCGACTTTTTTATAGTTGTTGGAGGGATGCATCCATTATGATTATCGCTTTCCTGATCATCATTCTATACAAGAGGCGAAGAAATGAGAGGAACTTTTTGAAAAATGGAGGCTTGTTATTGGAGCACCAAAGGGTAAGAATCTTCAGAGAAGCGAAGAATCTTCACAGAAGCAGAATTAGTGAAGGCTACCAAAAATTATGATCCAAGTCTACTTCTTGGCGAAGGAGGTTTTGGATATGTATACAAAGGAGTTTTGGCAGATAACACCCAAGTTGCAGTAAAGAAGCCTAAAGATAAAGACAAGACTCAAATAAATCAAGAATTTCAACAGGAACTTGGCATTGTTTCTCAAGTCAACCATAGAAATGTTGTCAAGGTATTAGGCCTTTGTTTGGAGACTAAAGTTCCTTTATTAGTTTATGAGTTCATTTCCAATGGAACCCTTTTCCAACATATTCATTACCAAAGGTCTTTAAAATATTGACAACTGGAAATATCGTCTAAGCAAGTAGCTGCAGAGACTGGCAATTGCACTTGATTATTCTGCATTCTCTAGCCAGATCCCCCAATTATCCATGGCGATGTCAAGTCATGTAATATACTCTTAGACGATACTTACACTGCTAAAGTATCTGATTTTGGAGCTTCAGTACTAATTTCTACAGGTCAATCTGATATGGCCACAAGAATACAAGGGACTATTGGATATTTAGATCCAGAGTATCTTATGACAGGTAATTTAACTGAAAAGAGCGATGTCTATAGCTTTGGAGTGGTTCTTGTTGAACTATTAACAGGGGAGAAACCAAATTCTAGCGCAAGATCTGGCGAAAAGAGTAACATCATTCAATATTTTCTCTCATCTCTAGAAAATAATGAGCTATCTAGGATACTTTGTTTTGATGTAGCTAGTGAGACTGAAATGGAAGAGATTGAAGTTTTTGCAGAGCTTGCAAAACAATGCGTACGAGATGCCTACGTGTTTAGTGGCATGAAAAGGCCAACGTATTGAACCAAGTTTTTGCTGAGGAGGCTTGGCAGACTTGATGAAAATTACATTGAGAGGTTTCATGGGATCATCATAAAACAGTGAAGAGACTCATGGATCTGTTAGGTGGAATCCCACCTTTACTGTTCCATTGACATGGGAACACTACAAAGGCTGAACCAATGAACCAACATGAAACCCTTAGTATGACAACATTTGATGTCGAGTACTCTACAGATAGCATTTGAATATATTGGTTATAAATTTCTATAACGTTCTTTTTATTATTTGTATATTTGTAGACTCACTTACATAGAGAGGTTCCAATCATCCCAAGGACTGTTTCTAGGCCTAGTTGTAGCAGATTATGCATTGTATTACTGATTTGAGGCTTCGAAATATGATTTGAGTTTATTCATTTTGTGAATTGTGAAGAAGATGATGGGTTTTTTGAAGTACAGAAACATTTTTTTCCCAGGGAGATCACATCGATTGATAAAAGCTAGAGATTTCCACCAAGTTAACTGATTTGGCTAAAAAACTGAATTAAACCCATTAAAAACAGTTTTGATTTTATTCAATTTTTCAAATTGAATTGAAATTTGCATACTTTCATTGACGTTAAGCTTTGAATTGAAAACAGTACAAGTTTCATTCTTGAAGCTCCAAGGGCTTGAAGTATTTGCCATCTATAAGATAGGTTCCAATGCTGAGACGAACTGCCCACACATCCTTGGGCTTTCTCGACACAATTCTGGCCATGGCCATACTGCCCACGAACATCCTTGGGCTTCTCGACAACAGATTCTGGCCAATGGCCATTAATACTTAAAACAAATCAAAAAATCAACCAAAAATCATAATATGAAGATGGAAAAAGAGAGGATAAGAAGAGAATGGGTTAGAAATGCACCTTTCCAACAAGAAATGCACCTTCCAACATCTCCAGGCTTTACTAACCCAGAATTAACCCTGAGGCAAGGTACTGAAGTTGCAGTCTTTATCATTTTTGGAGCCTCAATAACAACAATAGGAGAGCCTATCTCAAGTTTTTTAAATTTTTCTGGTGATGATTCTTTGGATTCACATTTAGTGACGAAATTGAAGTTTTGGTTCCTAGAACTTGAGTTGGTGAATTGCAAGATTGAATTGTGAAGTTTTGTGCATGGAATTGTAGAGGTAGATGAGAGAGATAATGCCATGAGAATAGAAGATAGTATTTGTATGGTTCATGTAGGATGATGCGTTGATGTCCTTTTATATATATATATATGATGGATGTGAAAGAGGATGTCCAAATACAAAATATTCACTAATGGCTTCTTATGTAGTCAAATTCATATTATTATTTTACTTCTGCATTTGAAATAAGATATTATTATTTTATTTTTTTTTATTTTTGTACTTTTGAAATAAGTAAGTATCTTTATGCACCCTTAATTTTTTTTACAACAAAATCAAATTATATGAAAAAAAATGATAAAAAATAACTTTTTTAAGCAAAACAAAAAAGGGTGTATAGATTCTTAATTCTTACATCAAAACCGAATTTTATAAACCCTTGTTACATTGGTGAATCATAGTAAATTGTTATTGAAAATATATCTAGCATGTAAATTGAAAATATTTCTAGCATATAAATATAAAGAAATACATCTCGTTACATTATATTACACTCCAACACAATTCCCTGAGCATAATTTTAATTTTATTTTTTTATTAAAATAAAAATTTATTTAAAAAATTACTAACAGACACAAGACATTAAATCTATTAAGCATCTAAATTTACCATTCCATGTTAACTTTTACATTCGCAAGCCAATTTGCCATTTAGCAAATGTATTTCTAACATAAGCAATAAATAGTAAGGCTACATTTGAAAAGCCATTAGTCAAATGTATTTCTAACATAAATGGAAAAGATAATATCATTTTCCTTAAAAGCAAGGAAAACTAGATGCCTGTGTCTGAAGCTTGTATGTAAAAAGTACAGAGCTTTTCTTCTCCATTTTCTGAAAATTTGAATTGAACTTTTCTGTACAGGTCATTTTCTTTTCCTTTTTCAAAAGATATAATCACCTGTTACAACATAATAAATAAAAACCCAAAAAAAAAAAAAAAAAAAAAAAAAAAAAAACATAAATAAATAAAAAAAAAAAAAAAAAAAAAAAAAAAAAAAAAAGATTTACTCGAAAGAAAGAGGGGCACTAAACTCTTGGCCTGAAAGGCACTAAACTCTTGGCCTGAAAAACCAGGGAAAAAAAAAAAAAAAAAAAAAAAAAAGATTTACTCAAAAGAAAGAGGGGCACTAAACTCTTGGCCTGAAAAACCAGGGAAAAAAAAAGTTAGAAAACCTTTACAGTCTATACAAAATTCCAAGTTGATCTTGCAACAAATTGCTTTCCAAGTTTGAAGCTACCCACCTTCCTGCCCCATGCGAGCCTGCTTCTCTGTCTTTGTACACTACTTCTTTGAGTATGTAAGATACGGATCTTGAGCAACAGTTAGAACATCTGGTCTTTCAGTTTGGTTATACGTTAGACATCGACGAATAAAATCCTGCAAGGAAATCAGTTAAAAATCATAAAAATTAGAAACAGAAAAGCACCTACACAGTCTTCCTAAATTTTCATTAACATTCAAAGATATATTGAAACAACTTGGGATAATATTGCAGGACGAATAGAAAGATTAGATATAGAAACAGGGGGTGGCTGATCAAAATTCTTTCATATGTTATATTATAGCAGGTGAAAATAGCTAATATCGCATTTTTCTATGATAAATTTATTTTTCCCCATCTTTGGCTCATCATCCAGGAACCCAGCAACGATATTCTGCACCCAAACAATTATCCTAAGCTTTCTAAAAATCTTTTAATATACAACAAAAGATGTGATAAATTGAATCACATAAAATGTCTACTATCTTTCCTCATGTGCATTAATGCAGAAACAATAATTTCTCTTGTGCTTAAGCACTGAAGGAAATTGCGTGGTGTACGCTTCAGTAGAATAGGAACAAAGCATGCAGTATTAACTATCATAAAACAGGTAGTCCATCTCACCTTTGCCTCATTTGAGACAGAAGGCTTTGAGGGGAATTCAACCCTGCGAGCTTTAATAATTGTGTCTTCACGCAATATTCGTTCTTGAGATTGGTCATGCCCAAAAGGACGTCTGCCAAAGAGCATTTAGTAGAATAGAACCCCAGCTGACCAGACATCTCAACCTGACTCCCAAAAGAGAGCAAACAATAGCAATGGACAACAAATAAGAATAAAAATAAGATATTCATTATCTAACTGAAAAAGCTTCTGGACAACAAATAAAGATAAGAATAAGATATTCATTATCTATGAAAAAGCTTCATAAAATGATATGTCTTGAGCAATACAACCATTTAGACATTCATAAAGGCATGACGCAAGAAACAAAGGGAGTTCCTTGTATCACAATAATCCCCTACCCTCTTCCCTGCAAGGACATTTATTCATAGCAAGACTGACCTTCGATGATATTAAAGGGATCTTGGTGAGCTCAAAGCATTCTGGCGGCAAGTACCTAAATTACCGAAGGGGGAAAACACATTAGCTACAGTTGCCTTAAAGCTAAACAAGTGAACCTATAAGCAACATTCTAACTGCAATCACATCAAGATTCATCTTTTCATTGTGTCTTTCTTTGTGCATCCATGTGTTTTGCACACACAAAACAGAAAACAAACAAGAAATAAAATACCATGGAAAAATAATTGGAATCGCTAAAGAGAATCAACGCACAATTTCTATTAAAAAGGGGCAAAAGAAGAGTTAGGTTAACTTATGAATTACTAGTGAAAAATATATACAGCAATTTCATGCATGTAACTTTATTCATCTATTTCAAGTCTGTACGCGAACTCCAATCCTTTTACCCATTAACAATTTAGAAGATTTCACAAAACCTTTATCACTTAGCTTTCGACTTTTCAGAAATATATTAGCGGTATAGAAAGACCCTATGCAGCGTAGGGTTTGGCTCCGGGCCTTCCCTGTGGAGCTTAGGTGGAAGGCGAAGAAAGCCCCAACAGGAAAATAAACTGGAGCACCTAACAACATATCTTCACAGACCAAGAACTATGAGATCGCCCCCAACAGGAAAATAAACTGGAGCACCTAACAACATATCTTCACAGACCAAGAACTATGAGATCGCCAGTATTAATAACCCTATTTCATCCATAGAAATGCAAATATATTCCATGCTCAAAATTCTGTCATCATGCATCAAATGCTGTCCTATGTAGTCAAGAGGTAACTGACCACCTAATGAAATAAAAGAATCCAAATGTTTCTCATAAAACTTAAAAACTGAAATTCTGATGAACAGAAATGAATTCATTGTATGGTATGCATGGGTGATCTGATATCAACACAATAAATCACCACAATATTTGTGATTGAAATCCTTATGCAAAGTAAGGTGACATAGCAATGAATAATCTGTTACTTGCTATCTTACATATTCTGTTCAGACGTTCCAAAACAAATTCAAGTTTGAAAGATGAAAGTTTTGACACGCACTTGACATATTAGATAACCAACAAGTAATTCTTTTAGATTAGGAAACCGCAAAGTTGTTTTAGATATATTGTGAAAGTGAGAACTTGTCCACTAAATAAGTTGTAGAATGTTGTATTCAAACAAGGGATACAACAATAAACAAAGGATACAACAAATTTGCATCCAGGTGATCACAAATGCAAGACTGCACATACTCACCAATATGTTCTCACAGCTTCCCTGGGAATGTAAAGTTCGCATTCCACTTGGGATTCCAAACCATCATCCTCCCAGACTATCTTGCTCAACCAAAATCCAGTAAACTTTTAGCAACACCAAAGCCTCATCAAATTAAAACATTTCCCAGGCTTCAGATCATAATGAAAAAAAATAATCTAATCTTCTGTGTTCTTTTATTCAAGTATACAAGGCCTTGAAATATTTGTACAATAATGATCCGAGCTTCTCTCTCAGGCAGTATAGGTGTTGCTTTAAGAACAGCATCGAGATCCTTTCCTGATAAGGGAAGATGAAGGAAAATCAAAAAAGTAAGTAATGTAACAGGAACCACTATTCTAAGTGGAATCTCAGCTGCTGTTGATCCAAGCACAGAAATAACCTACAGTGAAAATCCTGAAGCTGCTTTTGTCAAGGCCAACAACTTCTCCTACGCCATTGTTGTTATCGGAGAGCTTCCTTATGCAGAAACAAACGGAGACAATCTCAACCTGACAATAACAGAATCAGGTCCTTCTGTGATCAACAATGTCTGTGGCACCACTAAATGCGTTGTCGTTGTAATCTCCAGCCTCCCTTTGGTGATTGAGCCATACATGGCCCAAAGAGATGCTCTTGTTGCCGCTTGGCTTCCAGGAACTGAAGGACATGGAGTTGCTGATGTGCTTGATGTGCTTTTCGGAGACTATGGATTTAGTGGGAAGCTGTCTCGAACTTGGTTCAAGTCCGTAGATCAGCTGCCCATGAATTCTGGTGATGCACATTATGATCCTCTTTTTCCCTATGGTTTTGGTCTCACTACGCAAGGTGCAAAATCAAGCTAGAAAGGAAGAATTTTCATTAATTAGTAGATTAGTGGGATGATTAACATCCGATAACTCAAGGTGCAAAATCAAGCTAGAAAGCAAAAATTTTCATTAATTAGTAGATTAGTGGGATGATTAACATCCGATAAGATTTTAATCATAGGATTAGTGGAGATGTTTAAGGTAGTTTTGTAATAAGAGATAAGTTGTGTTAATGTTTCTATGATGTTAAGAATAGCAAGTTGAATTTTTTTGGATTTAATTTGATCATTAATTATGTTTTATTTTCATAAATTTTGTCTGCATGGAGTTAGAAATTTGGTAAATAAATATAATAAATATAGTTTATTTTGAATCAATTAAAAATTAATTGATTTTAGGTAGGTAGTCATGTAATTAGGATATCATTTAGGTTTAGGAGAGAATGTTTAAAGGGGCCAAATCCAATTAATTGACTACGAGTAATATCAAACAATAATTAAAACGTCATTTGTAACGTTTTCATTTTCTAATAAAAGGCCAACTTTACCAACTTGGTATGCTAAGTCAGTCAACTGACGGTCCAAGTCTTTGCTATTAGAAATGACATCATAATTTCCATTTAAAAATTAAAAAGAAAAAAATTCGTTAGTTTCTGATTAACACTATGAAGACTTATAATAACCAGTCAATTTACATATACTAATATCAATATCAGTGAATAATCAATAAAACTAATAATCAATATCATGTGTGATCTGATTGGTCTTCTTATCTTTTGTAGAAGATATAGAAAGTTCGAGCCCCCTCCGCCATAAAGGTTATCGCAAATTTAGTGAATTTTACATATATATTTATGAAAAATGATGAATTTTCTCAACAATAAAAAAAATGCATCCATGATTTTTGTAGTTTAAAAAATATTTGGATCTATGATTTTTTTTATTCATTAAAAATACACACATACTAGTACTGTGAATGAATATAAGTTTTGGTTGTGTTGTTTGTTTCTATTTTATAAGTCATTTGAGTTCAATCTTAAAGAAAGTTCATTTGAGTTCATTCAACAAACTTAACAAGATGAGTTTGATCCTATTCAAGCCCATTTAATTAATAAACCAAGTTCAAACTTGAATTCGAGCTTTAAAGAAGGCAAAATGATACGTAATTTGGATATTTTATTCACTGAGTAGAAATTATTCGAGCTTTAAAGAAGGCAAAATGATACGTAATTTGGATATTTTATTCACTGAGTAGAAATTATAAGGGGCAGTTCAGATCTTTCTTACACAATAGACGCCAAATGGAGCTCTTTTCGAATGGAGGGAATCATAATCATATAAAGACATAAGTTAGGGCCCTGAAAGTTATTTTATCAAATTAGAGGGATGTAAATGTTAGTTACACAATAATAAGTTGGGAATGTTAATGTATTTTTTATCGAAAACTAACATTTTATTGTTCAATGATATTTAATAAAAAATATAAATCTTCGTAATAATAACTAATTATTTATCTGATTTGGACGTCAAATTAACTTTTCTGGGGTTTTCTATACCTAACTTGCCTTTCAAGAATTTGATACATGTGATGTGTATAGACAAGTTTCCACAACTATGGGTCAATAATTTAGTAACATGTTGCACTATCAACCTTCGTTTGTAGAAAATCCATATCTATCTCTAACTAAATAAAATCAAATATCATACATTCTAAATTCTCATGAGAGAAGGACAAAAAATAAATTCTCATGAGAGAAGGACAAAAAATATCTAAATCAATGAAATATTTATCTCGAGACAAATAATAATAGCATGCAAAAAAAATAGATGGAAATACACATATTTAAGCTCATCAACAAGACAACTCCAATCTAAAATTAGAATTAAATGATGACAAGCTTTTTGCGCAAGTGTACGAAATTGCAAACAAGTAATAGAAGTGAGTAGCATATCATTCCATAAAAATTGTATACCAAGTATTAAAATTGTGTTAATCTATTATTATTTAAACGACAATAAAGAGAATGTATTTGAAAATAAAAGAATTATTTTGAAAAATAAAAGATTAAAGTAAAAAACAATAAAGAACTGATGAATCAAAAGCAAAGAGAATTTGTTTGAAAAGAAAATCAACGGTTGGAAGTTATTAGGGATTTTGATCTATCACTTAAATTCTATCTGGTTTATCCTGATTAGTTTTCGATAAATCAATTTTAATTATTCCAAGGAAGGAGAAATAACCCACTAAAAATGAAAATCGTTAAAAAGCTCTCTCGATTCTTTTATTCGATGTTTTATTAGCTATTTTAACCCAATTCAATTATCCATCTCTCAATGACGCAACCAAATATAGATTAAATCATTAAGTTCTTGTAATTATTGAGGAATCCACAAATTAAGGCCTTTAATTTTATGAAAACCTACCACGAGTCAAACCATCTAGCTCTCGCATCAAATTGTTATTTCTATGAAATTTATTGCCCTGTTCATATCAAAAATCCTTCTCTCGACAGTGATTAATGAAATAAATCAATCAAAGGTAGAAACTCCGCCTGAAAGCATTAAGATCAATAATAAATTTTAATTGAATAAAGAAAATCAAATCTAATATTATAAACTGGAATTGAAGTCAAGCTACATCATATACCTAGTAAAAAGATTCTAGTAAAAGATTTAGTTCGACATAGTAAATAAAATTAAACTCAATTAAACTTGTAAATAATAAATAAATTAAACTCAATTAAACTTGTAAATAATCTCATAATGAATAATAAATAAAAAGAGAGTTTAGAAATAAAAACTAGTCAACGATTGGCTTGAACAGAGCTTCCTTGAATCTTGACACCAATCTTGAGCACTTAAAGTCTTAAAAAGAGAGAAAACTATGTAGAGAACAATAGAATTAGAGATGGAATATATAATGAATATCTCCCAAATTATTGCTAGTCTCTCTCTTTATATAGACTTTATGAAATATCTTCGAATTCGTTTAGGGAAGTGAATCTCCATTGAGGAAGAAATCTTTTAGAGATAGAAAACTATTTATACTTTGTATTTCTTTCCAATTAGGACTCTCTCAGCGTCTAAATAAGACTCTAGCTTTAATAAGGCATGTCTCACAATATCTTCATGAAGATCCATACAAGCAGCACGAGCTTAGTTTGGTAAATAAATATAATTAATATAGTTTATTTTGAATCAATTAAACTGGATTTTTTTTAATATATATAAGAAAATTAGCTTTAACATTTTTATGAATAATAAAAAATTATTTTACTATTTTTGTAATTCTGTTGGAATTTAGTTATGATTTTAGGTAGACAGTCATGTAATGAATGTTCATGCACTTAGATTAAAAAAAGTTACAGGATTTTTAACTTTCCATTTCTGTTTTCCATTTCATTATTAGGATATCATTTTGCTTTAGGAGAGAATGTTTAAAGGGGCCAGATCCAATTAATTGACGACGAGTAATATCAAACAGTAATTAAAACGTCATTCGTAACGTTTTCATTTTCTAATAAAAGGCTAACTTTTCCAACTTGGTATGCTAAGTCAGCCAACCGACGGTCCAAGTCTTTGCTATTAGAAATGACATCATAATTTCCATTTAAAAATTAAAATAGAAATGACATCATAATTTCCATTTAAAAATTAAAAAAGAAAAAAACTCATTAGTTTCTGATTAACACGTGATAAAGACTTATAATAACCGGTCAATTTACATAGGCTAATACTAATATCAATATCAGTAAATAGTCAATAAAACTAATCATGTGTGGTCTGATTGGTCTTCTTATCTTTTGTAAAAGATATAAAAAGTTGGAGCTCTCTCCGCCATAAAGGTTATCGTAAATTTGGTGAATTTTACATATATATTTATGAAAAATGATGAATTTTCTCAACAATAAAAAAAAAATGCATACATGATTTTTGAAGTTTAAAAAATATTTGGATCTATGATTTTTTTTTTATTCATTAAAAATACACACATACTAGTACTAGTGAATGAATATAAGTTTTGAATGAATATAAGTTTCGGTTGTGTTGTTTGTTTCTATTTTACTATTGGTGCTTGACTATGTCAAAACTGTAATAGCCTGAATTTTTATTTTCAAAATTTTTGAAATTTTAATAAATAAAAAACGTAGTACAATAGTTAGTTACAATGCATCTTTCAACTTGTAGAAAACATTCAGTATCAATCCGTATACTAATGTAGAATTTAATGTGTGATACTGTAGAATTTCCTGCTCAGCAATAATTTTTTAGGACAGCTTAATTCGGCTCGGGGTTAGTCACAATTAAGGTCTCTTTATCCTTCTCTGCAAGTGTGTTTAGTGAGAATCGAATCCGAGAACTCTTTCCACGTGTTCAGCCTGCGGTGCCAATTGAGCCATCACTTGATATTATAAACATATTTCCCTAAATTCCATTGAATTTTCAATTTTGAAAATTTAATAATATTTAAAAATATTTCAATAATTTCATGGGTGAATATAAGTCAGTCTTGCATATCAACATCAACAGGTACAATGACTGAAGCTGGCAAGCAGGCAGAAATTTACTTGGTCAACTCTTCTTCTTATTTTCCACATACATAGCTAATGGCAAGCAGGCAGAAATTTACTTGGTCAACTCTTCTTCTTATTTTCCACATACATAGCTAAGACCTTTCCACCTTTCCTTTAAATTTCTTTAGATTGTGTAATTGAGAAATCTGACAAAGCAAAGATGTTACCTTTCTGGTTTGTGATATTCACATTCATCTCCCAATCCGCAACATCTATAGATGTAATTTCTTCGAGTTGTCTTGAAACATGTGGGGACGTTCTTGTTCCATACCCATTTGGAATCAACTTCACATCTGGAATTTCTAATCCCGACTATTGTGCGCTAAACAAGCATTTCATCTTTACTTGCAATGTAAGTGATGATCCTCCGAGTCCATTTTTTGGGCGAAACATGCCTATTCACAATATATCAATAGAAGAAGGAACTATCTCCGTGCGAATTAAATCAGCAGGCAATTGCCACAACGAGATAGGAAGAACTCGCAAATTTAGTCAATATATTAGAATGCGAAGC